CTTTTCAACATTCTCCACATATTCAGTGACATTAATTAAGTTGATCATGTTTCTAATTTTTCCTGCTACCTTTATCAGGTCAAGGTTCCCTAAAGAGTGAGCTCCCTTTTGCCTTCTGTCCCTTCTACTCCTGATAATAACCACTAATACACTTTGTTCTCTGTATACTCGTCTATTCTAGATATTTTATATAAGGGGAGTCATACAATATTTATCCTTTTGTACTGACTTATTTCACTCAACTTTCATCCATGTTGTAGCCTGTAAAAATATGTTTTTTAAAAGTCTACTCTGAAAGTGGAGGGTCGGCAAAAAAGAGGCAGACCCCCAACGAGATGGATTGGCACAGTGGCAGCAGCAATGGGCTCAAGTGTAACAATGATTGTGAGATTGGCGCAGCACAGGGCAGTGTTTCCTTCTGTTGTGCACAGGGTCACTATGAGTCGGTACTGACTTGACAGCACTTAACGAAAACAAAAAACAATCCAAATATATCATTGTACTACTACTTAAAACCTTTCAAAGGCTTCCCATAGACCTTGTGATAAATTCCAAACCTACTTAACAAGGATTAAAACTAAAACAAAACAAAAAATACTTATAAAATGCCTAACTATAGAATTTAAAGATAGATTGGCATGTAGTATATAGAACAATATTCCATATAAATAACTTCAGCCTTTATACAAATGAGGTCACAGGCTGACATTATGTTCTGAACTTCAGTAGGTGCGTTGGTCCTCACAAACATGAATGGTTCCAAATGGCCATCTTTGTTTCCTTATAATCAAGTTATTTTACTCACTGTTAGGGCTTCGATGGAAAGGTTTTATAAAATGCAATAGCTCTATGAAGACACTGTTCATACTGATCTGAATTAAATTTGTATAGAGCAGACTTTTAAAACAAATGTAAATATCACTAAACATCTTCCCTCCTACAACCTGTACTTAGAGATGTTCTTTCTGTAAACTAAATAAAGAGTAATAAAAATAAAAATTACTCAACTAAACAAAACAAAACAAAAAACTCCTGTGTTCTGGTCCAGCAGCTTTTTTTCACATCTAGTTTAAACTTTAGCAATAACAGAAGCCTGGACCCATTGTTATTGAGTTGATTGGGATGCATAGTGACCCTCTAAGACTGAATTGAATTGCCCCAAGGGTTTCCAAGGTCGGAGTCTTGGTGTGATGCTGTAGAATCAACACTGGATTGTTAACAATAAAGTTGGTGGTTCAAACCTACCAACTGCTCCTTGGAAACCCTATAGGTGTTGCTATGAGTCAGAACCAACTCGATGACATTAAACAACAACAACAATCCATAGGAAAGCAGACTGCCATGTCTTTTTCCCTCAGAGTATCTGGTGGCTTTGAAATGCCAACTTTTCAGTTAGCAGTCAAGCTCTTAACCAGTGTGCCACCTGGACTCCTTCTTTTAAAAAACCAAATCCATTAGCATGGAGTTGATTCTGACTCATAGCACACTTAGAGGACAGAACATTACATATGGCATAAGGTTTTCAAGGCTGTGAATCTTCACAGAAACAAACTGCTTTTCAAACTGCCAATGTTTCAGCCAGCAGCTAGCTTTTAACCACTGTGCCATCCTGGTGTTTAGTTCAACACCTGACTGCCTCCCTTTTTGCAGCTAGCAGCAGTATGGAGTACTTCTTTCTTACCTGGCAACTTTCATCATCCATCAGATCTCAGAAGGAACATGATTTTTTCAAAGTGGGTCTGTCTGCTCCTCTCCTCCTCACAACATACTTCATTTTCTGGAAATTATGTCTGCAGGGTCTTTCTGTTTTTCCCATTCTCTGATGAATTTCCTGATGTAGGGACTGTAACTTATTCTACATATATAACATATTACGACTACCTAGCCCATAAAGATTTACAGCCTCGGAAACCCTGTACAGAGTCACTATGAGTCTGAACTGACTCCACAGCACACAACAACAACAACAACAGTCCTAGTGTGGTAGAACTGGACCAAATGCACTGGACCAAAAGGTCAGTTTAAACTGCAAGTTTGGCAGTTTAAACTCACCAGCTGCTCCTCAGGAACCCTATACAGGGTTGCTGTGAGTTGGAACCAACTCAATGGCACTTAACAACATTACCTAGCCTAAGAAACCCTGGTAGCTAAGGAGCCCAAGTGGATTAAGATCTGGGCTGCTGATTACAAGGACAATCGTTTGAATCTACCAGTCCCTCCATGGGAGAAAGATGAGGCTTTACACAACCACCACCTACTTGCCACCATATTGCCTAGCATAAGGTAAACTGCAATAATCATTCAGTGAATGATTATGTAAATTAACACCCCAGACTAGACCAGCAATGGCTCCCTGTGGGTTGACTCCAATTCTGAAAGACTATCTGCCTCACCAGGCCATTCATCATTTTAGATTTTCTACATCCCATAATCTATAGTCCAGTATTTTGTTGTTAAGTATCATCAAGCCAGTTCCAACCCCCATGTTTAACGTTTCTGAGGAGCAGCTGATGAGTTTGAACCACCGACTTTACTGTTCAAAACAACTTTGCAGCCCAGAGCATTAACCCATAGTGCCACACCAGGACAGTATTGTTGTTGCTGTTGTTAAGTGCCGTTGAGTCGATTCCAACTCATAGCGACCCTAAACAGGGTTTCTGAGGCTGTAAATCTTTACAGCAGCAGAAAGCCTCATCTTTCTCCCATGGAGCAGCTGGTAGTTTCAAACTGCTGACTTTGCAGTTCACAGCCCGATTCATAACCACTATGCTACCAAAGTTCCTTCCAGGACAGTATAGCAAGGGGGATATCATCAGAGAAAGCTCATGCTATTAGGCAGCCAGAACATCACAACAGCCTCCTCTATGAGGCCCCACATGGCTTGATAATTTATAGGGCTGCCCTAACATTGGTAAAAATAGTGTCAGATATAGTGCCAGAAGATGAGCCCCACAGGATGGAAGACACTCAAAATGCTACTAGGGAAGAGCTACCTCCCCAAAGTAGAGTTTACCATGACGACGCAAATGGAGTAAAGCCCTTGGGACCTTCATTTGCTGATGGGCAACAACTCAAAATGAAGAGAAACATCTGTAAATATCCATTAATAGTTGGAATATAGAATGCACAAAGTATGAATCTAGGACAATTGGAAATGGTCAAAAATAAAGTGCAATGCATAAACATCAATATTCTAGGCATTAGTGAGATGAAGTGGATTGATATTGGCCATTTTAAATCTGATAATCATATGGTTTACTATGACA